GCCCTCCCCTGACTTCCCTTCATACCTGGCTCCTCACACACCAGCCCATGCCTTATACACGGACTTACACTTTACTCACTGATTTGAATGCAAAGTGAGGAAGGTAGTTTTTCTGAGTAAAGCTAGAGAGCTAGTATTACTGTAGCCATCCTTACTACTGTACTACTGTGTGGGGTGACCTTACGAATGGTTCTGGGTACATCAGCTGTATCTAATCTTGAACAAGGGCAGTGTCTGATAAAATACTTAATATAATCATTGAAGAACAAGTAAAAATATATTACTTAAAAATCACAGAAAACAAAAGAATGTGACATTCTTGTTCAACATATCCTCCATCTGAGTCTACACACTTCTGAGGGTGGTATTTCCATTTTTTTAACCCTTCCCAGAAGAATTCTGTTCTTTGATTTATGTGTCAAATGGCCATGTGGCATGCTTGAGGGACTCAAATTGTGTCCTTTAAAAATGTTCTTTGAATCTTGGGAACAAAAAGAAGTCTGTAGGGGTAAGATCAAGGCAGGTTGGACGGGCGATGTTTCCCAGCAGAAGGCCCACAGGGCAGCCCTGGTACCCCCGAGCACGAGCAGGTGAGTTGTCATGGTGGGCCAAAAAAATTTCTTGTTGGAGTTTTCCTGGCCTTTTTCTCACCCATGTAGTTTTCATAAAACTTCTTCCTGACAAGCCCCCATCATTATTCTGAGTCCTTTAAGGAAATCTCGAGATTTCCCCTTTGGGGTCCAAAAAGCAGTTGCCATAACCATCCAGTAGGAGCCCTGGTGGCCTAGAGGTTACACGTGGGGTTGCTCACCCCACCGTCAGCAGTGTGGAACCGCTGGCAGCTCTGGAAGAATGATGGGGTATTCCACTGGTGCGGGGGGACAGTCTCAGACGGGCACAGGGGCAGTTCTCCCCTGTCCTACAGGGTCGCTGTGAGTTGGAATCCACTTGATGGCAGTGACTTCGCGTTGGTTTTATAACCTTCTAGTTGACCTCTGCCTTGAATGTAACAGGCTCAGCAGATCCCCTCTGAAGTGGCTGTTTTGATTGGACCTAACACACGTCCATTACTGAGAGAATGTGCCTGCCGTCAGTGACACCCTGATTACAGAGGCATGTTTAAACTCATTCTGCTTGGAATAAAGCTGTACCTACAGGGGCTGGAACTCTAGTTGCAAAACTCTTGGACTTGCCCTTATAAAAATCTGTCAAATGTGGTGCTACGTTTTACATGTACTTTTAACTAGATTAAATTCATTTTGAACTATATTTGGTTTCTGTGTTACCTGTTCTAGTTTCTTAGTGCAGGTTATATCATAATAAGATAAAACTAGTGAATGGCTTTAAGAACAAAATTTATTGCTTTGCAGTTTTCGAGAATAGATCCGAATTGAGTACTCTTTTACGTACCCAGACGTACCTTATTGCTTTGATTATAGTCTGTTTTCAACTTAATTACAATTTTTATTTCTTGAAGTTAAGGAGATTTTTATCTAGGCCTTGGAATCTGCAAAATGTACTTTTAAAAACATGAATTAAAAACAAATTACCCTACCTTTAAACTTAAGAAAAATTCACAAATGTGTAGTATTTTTCTCTTTTTAATAGTATTTTCATCTTTTTTCTCTGGAGATTTAGAGCGACGAGATCTGTCCCACAAGGAGAAACTCTACCTGAGAGAGTTAAATGTCATTACAGAGACTCAGTGCACCCTGGGTAAGAGCACTTTCAGGGGGAATTCTTCCTGCTGGCGGTTAGAGGGGACAGTGGATGTATCCATCTCCTTTCCTGAAATGGTTTTCCAAGTTCGCCAAATAGATTGGACTGGTAAAATAGAGGTGCTTGTATACCTGGGTTTTGGTTATTATTCATGTGCAGAGGGGAATCGGACATGTCTTCTGTGTGGCGTTTCTGCTCCATCTTTAGTTATGAATGGCCTCCTTGCTGTTGTCCTGGCTTCCTGTGATGGGCATGGCACGCTAGTGCTACATGATCTTGAATTTTTTTGCTGTTTTAAGGTATAAATCCCTGCATGTTCATTTGAGCAAGTGGAGAAATTTGATATCTGGATATTTGCAAGTTGATTACATCATTTTTGTGTGCAGTGTTGCTTTTGTTGTGTAGAACTTGGAAACCTGGAATTGTAATTTATCGAAACATTACTTCTGAATTGTTCAATTTCGTTTCTTGTTTGTCAGAAGTTAGCATACCTCGTTATTTACATAGTGATTCTAGGTAAAGGATTGGGTGTTTATAGCCTAGGCTGTCTCATAGAGAAAACCAGTTAGCTAATAAGTGTATTTCTATGTCTTTGTAACTTTGGGAATCTGTTTGTGCTTAATGGTTTGACTGGCACTAATAAATGCTGTATTTTAATTATTTTCCAAACGGCTACAATGTTTTGCTTTGACTTGGAATACCCTCAAAGGCAGAGCAGGTTGAGGAAGTGCACATGGGGAGACCCTGTTTCTCTGACGCAGGTCTGACGGCACTGCGCAGCGATGAGGTGATCGACCTGATGATCAAGGAATACCCAGGCAAGCATGCCGAGTACTCGGTCATCCTGCAGGAGAAGGAGCGCCAGCGGATCACCGACCACTACAAGGAGTACTCGGTAGGCAGCCGAGGGACCTGTCGGAGGGTGGTATTGTGTGGTGCCGCAGTTCTTGTGTGACTTCCAGTTGGAACATTCGTGTTTCAGCAAATGCAACAACAGAATACTCAGAAGGTTGAAGCCAGCAAGGTGCCAGAGTACATTAAGAAAGCTGCCAGGAAGGCTGCAGAGTTTAACAGCAACCTGAACCGGGAGCGCATGGAAGAGAGGAGAGCCTACTTCGACCTGCAGACACATGTAGGACGATGGCTAACCCACCCACTCAGTGCAGCTGTCCTGGGGTGGGGGTGGGCTGCTCTGCATCCTGGCTGCCGCCTTACCTCCCAGGACTTAGCATGCTCCTCACAGTACTCAGCCTTTGTTTCTGGTGACATCTCTTCTGTTTTATGGCTGACGCCACACCTCAGCTGTGTGTTGCGGTGCTGCTCTGTCCGATCTCGGCATTAATTTTATTACCACGTCACTGTGGGCCAGCAGCTTTGCTTACTCCATCTCAGAGGAGGGCACTGAGCTGCAGAGGTTGGACACGTCACCCGTGTCACACAGCTGCGAAGTGAACAGGCATAACTGCCTTTCCTGAGGAGTGAGGTCATGGTGAGAGGCAGGCAGGGCATCCTCACCTCTTCTAGGAATCTCCCCTGCCCCTATCTTCAACGCTGCGGCTCCCAGGGTGTGAGGAGTTTCACTCTCCTGGGAGCTGCAGTGGTAAGCACTGATTCTGGGGATGGAAACCTCTCTGCCATCATTTTCATGTTAACACAGGTCATCCAGGTGCCTCAAGGGAAGTACAAAGTGTTGTCTACAGAGAGGACCAAGGTTAGTTCCTACCCAGTGGCCCTCATCCCCGGACAGTTCCAGGAATATTACAAAAGGTATTCAGCAGCACTGTGGACGCTTTGGTTTGGGGAGGGATTCTGGCTCATTGTGTATGTGTGCCCCCTGTCCCCTCAGGACTTCTCCCCCCCAGGGCCTGTGGGTTTCCAGCTGCCACTGAGGGCGGCTTCTGGGGAACACAGGCAGCCCCACTTAGCCTTCTGGGTTCTCAGTGCTGGCCCCACGGTCCACGTGCAGATTGCACTTTGTGAGTGCTGGCCTCAGCGTCCCCAGGAGCAGCAGCTGGCTGTAGGTTGGGCCCTAGTGGCCGCCCAGGAATGTTGCTTCCTTCGTATTACAACCCAAACTGCACGGAGAGTAGGGCACAGTCCGCTCAGCTTAGCATCCCCCTGTCAGGGCCGATGGCTGAGGAGAGAGTCTCCTTCACACAGTGGAGAGTGGAGTGGGTAGATAAAGGGTCAGCAAATTTTTAAAGCTGTGGGCCCAGTGCTGTGTGTAGTGGTGCCCCCGTGGGGGCTGACTAGATACCTGAGACTGGCTCAGTGGGGGCAGGAGAGTCGTCTTGGCCTAGATTGTTGGTGTTGGTGCCACCTGCTGACCCGCTGCTTAGCCACTGCCATCTCCTCTTGCACAGGGGTTGTTCGGCTCTGCTCCTTTCTTTGTGGTGGGGGTAGTCCTAGTGTGGGTTGAGTTGCTGTGTCCCCATACTGTTTTCTGAGGCAGTGCTGCTGTGATCACAGGGTGGACAAGCCATGAGCCCCGCTCCTGTAGTCTGTAGTCGGCCTCTCTTTTGGGTGGAGGGGCAAGGGGAGGGGCACTGTCTTTTGAGAACAGAATCAAACACATATTTTATGTTACTGGTCTAGTAAAGAGATGTTTGGGCTTCTTGTGTATCGCACAGTTTCACATGAGCACTAAAGTGAAGCATCAGTTTTAGTGGGATCTGTTTTACTGTCATTTGGGGGTGGCTGAGGGGTGTAAGGCACCTTTTCACCCCAGTCAGTCAGGCCTCTTTCACAGCCAGGGAACCTGAGGACATTCTCTCCTGCTGCAGATACTCGCCAGATGAGCTGCGGTACTTGCCACTGAACACGGCACTATATGAGCCCCCCCTGGACCCTGAGCTCCCTGCTCTGGACAGTGACGGCGACTCGGACGACGCCGAGGATGGGCGCGGTGATGAGAAACGCAGGAGTAAAGGTGCTTCGGTGAGAAACCTCCAGGCATATCTGCCCACCCACTGGGTCCCAGAGCTTGAGTTGAGCAGTATCTCACTTGGGGAAAGTGTCCAGACCCATGGCTGTCGAGTCACAGCTCCCCGTAGCCCAGAGTGGAACTGGCCCAAGGGGTTTCCAGGGCTGTAAATCTTTGTTACGATGAGCCGCTGGCTCTTTCAATGAGCAGCCAGGCACTTCCACCTATGTGCAACACGGGCTCCTCTGAAACGGGATCGTGCCTGTTAAGTCCACTCCAGAGTTTGCCATGCGAACACTCTGGTCCAGCAAGCAGGCTGTCTGGGAGCATGCGGGCTGCCCCACGTCCGTCTTCACAGCCTATGAGGTGAACAGAACAGACCCCGAAGAGAAAGCACTGAGCCTCAGAGAGAGGGGAGCCAACTGACTGACTGAGTAATCTAAGGCTCCCTGTAGGCGCACTCTCTCACATTTCAAGGGATCTTTTTCTCTTATAACTGGGTGACGAAGCATTAATGTGGCCTTCTGCTCTGTCTCGGCTCCAGGACAGCTCCTCTGGTGATGCTGCCTCCGATGGTGAGACCTCTCCACATGGCCCAGAGGACTCCCCACAGGGAAGACCCAAGTCTAAAGACAAAGCTGCTACGCCAAGGAAAGATGGTTCCAAACGCTCTGTACTGTCCAAATCCGTTCCCGGGTACAAGGTAGAAGAAAAAAGCCCCTGAATGGGCCTCCTTACTGACCAGCCTCTCTCCCCGAGGTCCTTTACCCTTGAGTTTCCACGTGGGCTCCTGCCTGCAGCCTCCTCGCCAGCTCCTCTCTGCTTCACTGCTGGTGGCTCCTGTCACCCCTGGCCGTGGCGCAGCATCTTGTTTCCTGTGTGGTCACCACTTAGCAGAGAGCCTTCCTCTCCCTCTTAAGTAATAACCAGGAGAATATGAGTTTTCAGAAGTTATTTCATAGGCAGAGCTTTATACCTTCTTTCCTCAGAGGCAGGTGTGCATACCTGGTATTTTAAGTAACACCAGTATTTCGTGTCACTGAACGTGCTGTGCCGCTTGGACGGAAGGGTTGCTGCTGGGTAGAGTTGCGTTTCTGTAGTGCCTTTCATTGAGAAAGATCTGGGTGTAAGCTAAGGATCTTTTGATCCATTCACCAAATTCAGACAACTCTGGGGAGAGAAACTAGTGAAGCCCATTTTTAATACTGTGCTGATTTTTAGCATAAACTTGGCAGGTAGCTTATATAATTTAATGACAAGGACTAAGTTGTTATTTGGTGAGGTAGTTATATAATTTAACGACAAGGACTAAATCGTTATTTGGTGAGATAGTTGGGCCTACTCCTAGCAATCCTCTACGACAGTCGAACTACCCCTGTGGCTTCCTAGACTACCTGTTTATGGCAGTAGAAAGCCTCATCTCTCTCCCATGGAGCAGCTGGAGGTTTCGAACTGCTGACCCTGTGGTTAGGAGCTCAATGCGTAACCTACCTTGCCACCAGGGCTTCACAGTCATTGGTAGTGAATGTGTGCCTGTTTGGCCTAGACATGTGCGTTAACTGTTTGACCTGGCTCTTCCAGAGTAAAGGAGTAGGTTATCACCACCTGTTGTTCTGGTTAGTTTTGATGGTCCCTTCTCAGTCTGCCCCTCACCCTGCATCCTCATTTGTGTGCAGGAACTTTAGAAGAGGAACCCTGATTAGCTGCCAACTTTCAGTTTTGAATGATAATAGTGAGGTAGGGCTCTGCCTCCATTGGGTCATGAAGGAATGTGTGAGTTCAGTGAGGAGAAGGTATTGCAAGTGAAACAGACATCGGGGCCTGTGTGGTTCGTGTTTGTGGCAAGTGATCCAAGGGGACAGGACTGTCCCCAGCGTCCACTTTGCATTCTTTCCTGGGTCAAGAAGAGCGACCGAACACATGAAAGTGTTTCATATCTTAGTAGGAAATGTCTTTACATCAACAGTGGGAAAATACATGTTTTTACAGGTTTTCACCTTCACTTGATACGGGTTGGCTTCCAAGGAAGGCTGATGTACGCTGCAGATAGGTGCTTTTTTCCCTTTTGTTTACATATAGTTTCTCAAAAGAAAAAAAAAATTAAACTAAAGATTTAGATTCATGCAAACAATAAAGCAAATGAGCTCCAAAGATTAGATGTCATGAGTTCGCCTACTTGAATGAATGCCCACGCCTTTCTGTGAGCTTCCAGCTCGCAGGGTCACCATGGGTTAAAAGAAAACTAACAAGAATTTCACAGTAAATGTTTCCCTGCATGCTGACCCAACACTGTTATTGATTTAACATCAAGAAAACAGTGCCGCTCACCTAAAGTAATAGCATGCAAGGGAGTCTTTGTATCGAGAATACACTTTTCGAAATCTCCGGTGAACGTTTATAGCAGCTAAAAATGTTTCCGTTATATCAAAGATTGGAAACCAGTACCTAGACTTAATAAGCTAATATGAACATGTTTATTGAAAGTGAACTTCTCTCTGAAAAGTATTAATAAGCCAAGATGTGCCTAAATCTTCGGGTACTTGAAGGTCTTGTTCTATACGTGTGGGAAATTGATCATGCGTGTGTTGTCTTGCGTAGGCAGTCCCCAGTGGAGCACAGAGTCCCTGCGTCACATTAAGTAATAGCGCAGCTGTCAGGGTCCAGGCCACACTTGTGCTGCCACGGCCTGCGTGACAGGAAAGTGAGTGTGGAGAAGTGCTTCTTCTGAGACTTGACTGCAATGCTGACAGCACTTAGGACGCACGTTTTTTGGTTGTTCTTGTCAGCAGTACAGCGTTGTTGCAGTGACTGGAAGGAGGACTGACCCCCTCAGGTAGCTAGCGGAGCAGGGCTGTTTCTCTCAGGAGACTTGGACACACTCTCCCTTCCCCCTCACTCAGGCCCTCCAGAGACCAGGCGCCCTGAAGGCTGGCTGGACAGGGCCTGCAGTTTGAGCAGCATACAGCTTGATCCAAGTCCTCAGAGCCACCTCACCCTCTCCTGCCCATTTCTCCCTCTTCCATCAAGATGGAGACTGCTGTCAAGAGGGCTTTTTGAGTGGTCTAATAAAACGTGATTGTAAGTGTAGACATAAACCTAGAGTTTTCTCGGTATCCCCTTTTCATAGGTGTTTGATGTACAGTTTAATGGTTGTAGAACTTGAATTGCTCTAGAATGTGAATGATTAGCCTGGCGTCTTTAGACTTTGGTTTTATAAAGGATCTTCTAGGAGGCGCTCTCGTTTTAGAGTTTGTTGTAGTTTGATTCCTTCCCTGACTCTAGTTGAAGGTATGAGAGTACTTACTCTGCCAGTTTCTTACATAAACTTTACAAGTATTAAGTAAGTACGTCTCCTGCATTTAGCATGGGGACCATAACCAAAAGACACTTGTTTGTCTGGTGGGTGGAGAGGTGGCTGGCTGCTGTGTGCTGTGGCAGTGGCAGACTTGATCACAATGGAACAGAAGTGGATCTTTGAAGTGCCCTTCCTAGTTAGTTTTTACACATGGACCCTTACGAGTAGACTAGCAAAAACAAGCGTGGGCAAGCACACTGCAAGACTTGGAGGTCTGAGCCTGTGACATGATCCTTCGTTGGGGGCGCAGGGTACAAAGATGCACAAACAGGAGACTTAGACTAGTTACCAGTAAAGTTTATATGTATACTTCAACTTCCATGGTATTTATTATTTTGTAGAGCCATCTGTGATTGTTTAGAGATACTGTTTTTATTATATTTATGTATAAGGCTGACTTTTTTTTAAATAAATAAGCCAAAAATTATTTTTGAACGCCTCTGTCATCTTTTGCAAAGAAAGAGAATTGAAAGACAACAGCTTAACGAATTACGAACAGATTTTAGGCCTCACAGGTCATTATGGAGGTGGCAGGTGAGACATTTCAGAGCTAGGACATGGTGGGAAATCGTGTGGTGTTAGGTGGCTCTTTGGCTCCAGGCCTCAGGAAAGGAGAACGTCAGAAGTGTTGGGCTGTGATAGAATAAAACAACTGTAAACTCTATTTTTTTAAACGTTTTTGATCCCCTGCTCTACATCATTCGTGGCCCTGACTCACCCCATTCTTCGTACTGCTGAGCCTGAGTCAGAGTGCAGCTGAGAGGCTGAGGCTGCAGGTGTTGGGAATGTCTCCCGCTCATGCCTCCACCTCCCCAGTCCAGTGGGATGCCCAGGCCTCCACTCCTGCTCAAGGTGTCACTGAGGGTCAGACACCTTCATTGGGCTGTGCGTTTGCTTTTCAATCTGAAAGATGAGCAGGGTTCACATGAAGGGTGGCTTCTGTTTTTTAATTGACTTTTGGGGAGCACGGGGCGGGGGCCAGAAAACTTATTTCTTCCCTTCATTATATTTCACATCTTCTTCCCCTTAGGCTCTTCTAATTTGCTGGCTTTGCCAAGGGGATAACTGCCAACTTAACGTTTTCAATAAACATTTGTACACATGACAACATGCCAGAAACACCTTCCAATTAAAAGTGCTACAGCACTGACTTTGTAGATTGTGTAGGTATGTTTACACCTGTGGAAAGTGGCAATTTTTAAGTGTATGTGCTCCTTAAAACTTACAGTGTTTTCTCTTGTAATATGACCTAACTTTCATGTGGTGGTCCTTTGGGACTTGCGTGTTGTCCCAGTTACAGTGAAATTTGACCTGTGTTTACTCTTTCCTAGTAGCTCAAGGTAGAGCAAGCCTACTGTGCATGTAGGCTGCAGAACGTCTGTGTTGAATCAGAACATGAGATCCTATCACTGACGACCCTTTAAAGGAAATTTAAGACTTTAATCAGTAGGCAGTCTTAGATCCTAAGCATATGCCCTTTGTTTGTGGTTCAGCAAGGTCCTCAATGGCAGGTTCCCAGGTAAAACTAGGGGACTACAGTAACAGCTCCTTTTGACCCTGTAGTAAGTTCTTCTGGCGTGAATTTATAGCCCTCTTCTACCTTCCAGCCAAAGGTCATTCCAAATGCTCTATGTGGGATTTGTCTGAAGGGTCAGGAGTCCAACAAGAAGGGAAAGGCTGAACCCCTTATACACTGCTCCCAGTGTGACAACAGTGGTGAGTACTCGTGTGCCTCTCAGCGCTTTACCTACTCCTTGCTACTGCCCGCCCACACTAGCACTTGGGGTTTAGAGTGCAGCCAGAGACCCCCAGAGCCTCAGGGAACCTTTGCAGGTGTAGACATTGCATTTTCTTCCTCGTTGTATTTCCATTTCCTTGACTCGTAAACGCTATAACCATTCTTGGGAAGTCTTGCGCTATTATTTTATCATGCCGTATTAAGAATCCTTGTGTGGAATGCTACTAATACTGGTTTTGATTTAGGCCATCCTTCTTGCCTGGATATGACCCTGGAGCTTGTTTCTATGATTAAGACCTACCCATGGCAGTGTATGGAATGTAAAACATGCATCATATGTGGACAGCCCCACCATGAGGAAGAAATGATGTTCTGTGATGTGTGTGACAGAGGTTACCATACTTTCTGTGTGGGTCTTGGTGCTATCCCATCAGGTAAAGATGAAAAAGAGAACAGTAGCTTCAGTGGTGGGACTTGCTCAGCATTTTCCTCTGAAGGCGCACACACTGTAATGCCGTTTTCCTCTGAAGGCACACACACTGTAATGCCGCCGTGTGGTGCCTGGAGACCCTTCTAGCAGCGTGTGACCAGGACTGCGGTTCCACAGATCATGCTGCCCTATTGCTCATTCCCGGACACCCCAACTTAAAGGATAAACAGGATCCAGAGTGCTTTAGAGTCTAGTTCAGTGTGCATTAGTAACAGAACATTAATTTGTCTCAAAGCCTTGATTTTATTTTATACATTACCTATTTAGAAATTTAACAAAATTACTTATGTTTTTTGTACATGTCACCCCGGTTACTCCCAATTACTTTAGAATGAACATAGGATCAAATGACAAACCACAACTGGGCTAAAACTTTACACAAACCCTTGTGCAAGTTGAAAACTTATTTGCATAGGCAACACTGGAAAGTACTCTATATAAAATTCAAGCCTGAAACAAAGTTTCCCGGGATCATTATGAAACTAAGCAACTTAAAAATGTCTCAAGTTCTGTAGTGAGCCCAGATCAGGTATGGCGTACAGGGAACACGGAGCTGTTCAAGACACAGTGCAGTCAGCGTGGTGCCTTGGGACCTCGGGCTGCAAGCGAGCAGCAAAAAGAAAAGGCATTAAGTGAGCCAAATTCAGCTTTTATGCAAGGACTTAATATGTATGCAAGCTTTTAGATCTCAGAAAGGGTTATAAAGATCGTCCTTGGCTTATGTAAGTCATTTCCAACACAAGTTGAATACCTCGTTGTTTTAAGAGTTTGTTATTGCCTTTTATTATCAGGATCTTTATAAATCCCAGCTTTATCTTTGAGGGTTGGAAATGTTATCTGTAAACTAACAGCAAATCACATGTTGTAATTCAGCCTTGTGTATGTTGTACACGTTACTGAAAAGGACAGTCCTAAGTGCGAGTCATTGTAGCTCGCATACATCGTGATAACTTAAAGGTCCACACTAGTGACTATTGCACAACATTGATTCAGGAAAGTTCACATTTATTCCCCCTTAAATTATTGCCCTTCCCACCTAAATCCACAGGGGAGTATCATTAGTAATAGCTAAGGAATGAATGAGTTTAGATGGATTTAAAATGCAGGCTTGTAAATAAAATTTTATGAATAATTTTCCTCCTAGGTCGCTGGATTTGTGACTGTTGTCAGCGAGCTCCCCCAACTCCCAGGAAAGTGGGCAGAAGGGGAAAAAGCAGCAAAGAGGGATAAACTGGGTTTTGACCTCAACATTGTAATGTGCATTTATGTGAAATATTTGGTGCCAACTTACATTCTCATTTTTATGCCAATAAAACATCTTTTGAAATTACTTCTGCTTAAAACCTGCCCTGATTTCTTTGTAATAGCCCCATAGGCTTACGGCTGATTCAAGGTGGAGGAATGGCTGTCCTCCAGTATTTTTCTTCCAACTTTAGCTGTCAGCAAAACCCAGTTGAAATATTTAGTCACTTTTAACTATTTCCCCATTAGCCTATAAAGTTACCATCCTGCCAGACACATTTTACTTTTCTGCTGTTTCTAGCCCAGCACGGGCAATATGTTACTTAATAACCAAGTATTTTAATAGGGAGCCCGAAATGATTCAATTACTGGTGGCCTATTATAATCCGGTGCAGCCGAAATTACCATGATTGCCACTTCACACTGCTGTCCAGATGTTCCAACAGAGCCTCTACAAGACAGAGTGGAGCTGCGCCAGTTCCCAAGGCTGCACAGTTGTTAAGAACTGCCTGCCTCACCGCCTGCAGGGTTTGAAACACTGACCCTGCAGTGAGCAGCCAGTGCTCATTCTTGTACCACCAGCAGGTTTTACGGGGACTTGGAGTTGTCAGCAACTCACTGGGAGACCACACCCAGAAAGAAGCACATGTTCTTGCTTTTCAGACTTGATTTCCAGCAGTTCTTGCATTCACACATCGGGACTCTGACTAGGTCTCCAAAGTAAGGCTTGCCGTTTTTATGTTTCACATCCACCTACACTGCGTAATAACCTTTCCTCAGTCACCTGACAATCAGGGTGAAACGGAAACGTTTATTGTGCACATTCTTGATAAAAAATTGAAGTCTTCAGAAGAAAGCAATCATTGTGCTTGCTGCTGCTGCTTTGGGGATAACTGAGGTAATAAAATTGCGTATGGCTTTACTTTTCCAAAACCCCAGCTAGAAGACGCCCGATCTCAACCAGGTCAACCAGCAAGGCCAGACCGGCTGCCACCAGCCTCCCCCGATGTTGGGCTCAGGTGAGAATCTCCAGTACCAGCTTCAGAATGCTAATCAGAATGGTCCAGAGCACCGACTCCTCCTCCTGGGGTGCATCCTCGGGGTCGTGGGCGCGCTGGCCTGGGGCTGCGTCCCCCGAGTAGCCGCTGTCCCCAAAGTGCTGCAGCTGTACGCTGCGGTCATAGTACACCTTCATCTCGAAATCGCTTTCCAAGTGTGAGGGGTGCCCGTAGATGCCGATGCCCACGGGGCGCTGGAAGTGCGCAGGGACAGCCACGGCGTCAGGGCCGCAGGTCGCCGACTGCAGCTCATAGTCGTCGAAGCTGGGGTGCAGGGTGCTGTCGGACACGTACAAGTCTGCGTCCCCGCGCAGGCTGCGCAGGCGCAGCACGATCTTGCCCTCGTGGTTCAGGCGCAGGTAGCTGTAGTTGCCCGCTCCGATCTGGCCCTGGACCACGTGCAGCAGCACCCACTCCTCGGGGACCTCGTCGTCGTCGACGTCGACGCCCGGCGAGGCCACTGCCAGGACAACCAGCAGCAGCAGCGCTTGGCCCCAGCACGCTGCCATGGCGGAGCCGGGCCAGGGCTCACACGGAGTCGTCACGGGCGGGTGGCCGCCTGCGGGTGGGTGGGGGGAGAGGAGGAGGGAGGGGAGCGGTGATGTCGTGAGGGGGCCGGAGCTGGAGGTAACATAAATGGGGAGAGGGGAAAGGGGAGGGGCTGTGATGTACGCGGGGGCGGGGGGGAGAAGGGGTGAGCCGCGACGGGCGATCCGAGATTAAGGCGTGAACGGGGAGGGGGCAGGGATGTGTGAGGGGCTCGGCTCCCTCCTCAGAGCCAGTCGGGGAGAGAAGGGGCTCGCGCCATGCGCCAACCCGACTGCCCGCCGCGGCCTCCGGGCCGGACTCACCGCCACTCCCCGCGGGCGCCTAGCCGCGGCTGCAGCCACCGGAGGAGCCCGGGAGCTGCGGGGCAGCGGAAGTGGAGCGGCCTCAGCTCTCGCGAGAGGGTGGGTGGGGGCGCGGCTCCTCGGCTATCGCGGGAAGGCGAGGTGGGGTTGAGCTCGGAGCGGTGGAGGGGAGGGGCTCGTCACCCTGGAGACCCAGTGGCGGGGCGGAGCTCGTAACCTTGGAGACGCGGAGGCCGCCTAGGAGAGTGGGGCAGAGGAGTTGGTCAGTCTCCGGGGTCGGGTTACAAGTGGTGAGACTGGGGATCGACGCACAGCTTGGCTGGGCTCTGGGGTCAGAGGTCGAGGGTCAGGGCCCAGGGTCCTGCTCGGAGGTCGTCGGAAACAGGTAGGGCGGCGGGCGCCCCTCCAGGCCCCTGGATCCCTGGGTCTCTGCGTCCCCTGCCCTGCAGTTTCATCGGGTGAATCTTAGTGTACTGCACATTGAGGACAGACGATGAGCGTGTATGTTGTGTACATCAAAACCAAACCCACTGCCGCCGAGCCGGTTCCCACCCACCGCGACCCTGTCAGGCAGGGTCGAGCTACCCCTGCGGGTTTCGGAGGCTGTCACTCATTCTGCTCCCTCACAGGGAGCTTGGGCCGAGGGTTAGCCGTGCTTACCGCAGCGTCTCCAGGGCTCCCTCTGGTGGACCTTCTTGTTCTCTCGCTCACAGCGACCCCTCGTGAGTTTCGAGGCTGTTGATGCGACTAGGAAGCCCAGTCTTTCTCCCGCGGAGCTGCTAGTGGTTTGACTGCGGACCATGTGGATGGCAGCCCAACCCTAACCACTGCCCCACCAGGGCTATTAGGTGGTAGCAAATCGGTTTTGACGCCCCCATGTACAATGGAAAGAAACACTGCCCAGTCACGAAAAATTCGTATTCTGAACGAATATTGATTTCAATTTTTTGGCACCAAAATAAACTTGTGCCATCTCGTTACAACATGGCTCAAACATAAGGTGACCAGATTTTAACATTGGTAAAGCGGGACACCATTGATAAAACTGATATCCTGGCGAAATAGCCACATGGCAGCCGAAAACCGTATACCCTAGCTTGTCGTGCATTCTTTCCAAAAATTGGGACTTTTTAAAAACGCCGAGGGACGCGGGACAAATTGTTCAAAATCGGGACTGTCCCGCCAAAAGCAGGACCTCTGGTCACCTTACTCAAACAGGCTCTATCTAGTTTGGGCCACTGAAAGTGGCAGATAGCAGTTTCAAAAGCTCTATCAGAGGACCATGAATAACACTAAAATTGAAGCAGGCATAAAACATCACATGTATGCAGAAGTTTGGATGAAAGAATGGTGAAAATTGTTGGTGGTTTGCGGGAAGTTTATGGGTACCCAATGCTCCAAAGAAATGAGGAGTTCCCAGGTGACTGGTTTGTTTTAGGAAGGGCTCAGACAAGTTGAAGCCTGAAGCGAAGACCCTCCGCCTGGATATTCGAAGAGACAATTTGCCTTGTTGGGGTCCTTAGGGACGAAGCCTGGGGGTTAGCAGCAGAAATGAGCCCACACTGTAAGCATTGCAAGCTTACACCCCATTCTGACAGAGAACGTTAAGCAAACTTTCTGCTTGATGGGTGCCCAAATCTTTGCACCCACATCAGCTGCAAATAAGAGCCAATCTTCCCATGGAAATTTTAAACAAGTGAGATCAGGATCCCGAAACATTTCTTGGAAGAATTTTAACAGGAGACACCACATGGCTTCCAACCTGAGCCTGAAGACAAAGCAAGAGGTGGAAGGTCTCGGCAACAGTGCTTTGAGATGCTCAAGCCATTGCCATTAAGGTGATTCCAACTGACAGTGATGACTCCGTAGAGCAGAGTCGAATCACTCATAGCTCTCTGAGACTGTGAATCTTAATGGAAGCAGATGGCCTCCTCTGTCTCCTTTGGAGCTTCTGGTGGGTTTGAACTTAGCTTCTCGCAGCCCAGTGTGTATTTCACTAAGCTACCAGTTCCTGGAGGGCCCAAGAATGAGAGTTTGTTTGTTTTTTCCGGACAAAGTTAGCTAACATTTTAGCAGAAAGAATGCCCAGGAAGCTTCCCCAGAGAGACCTTTCCCACCATCAAGATCCTCGGCTCATTCTGCACATCAAATAAAGGCAGTTTTGCCAAAGTTTGGATGGGAAATCATTAGGCAGCCACTTCATAGTTCTGATTTGACTCCTTTGGACTTCTTTTTGTTTCCAATCCTTAAAAATCTTTAGAGGCCCCTGTTGTTCTTCCGTTCATAGAGGAAAACTGTCATACTGATGTGACACTTCACGGACCCTTGGTTGTTTACGGATAAAGATGACTGGTATGATCTCTCACCAGTGTCTTGACCTTGGTGGGGTGTATGTTGACACGAGGGCCTTCCAAAAGTTCATGGCTTAAGTCATTATTTTCCGACTGAATTTTTTTTCATGAAATTTTTGAAACTTTCTGTATGTACAGGATAAGATTTAGAAGGAAATCCTTTCAGGTTTAGTATGTGTTTTTTTCTTGTATGTGTTTTCTACTTTTCTATACTTTATATACGTTGTTTCTGGGTTAGTGAGTTTCAAATATGCAGCTTCTCATTTTTCTATGAACCCATCACTCTGTGTTTATTGACTCAACTTTAAGACAGAAGTAGCTCTTTACCAGCTCATCTTGACTGTAGCATTTCCTTGATATGGTAACCCAGTATTTATTCATACTGCCCCAAACCACTGTCATCAATCAGGTTCTTATGCATAGCGAGTCCCTATAGGGTTGCTGAGGCTGTACATAATTACAGGAGCAAATAGTCTTATTCTCAAGAACCATCTCTTGAGAAACAAGTTAAATAATTGATGATGAAACCTGAAAGCCTAGCTTCTCATCTAACCTGATAAGTTGCTCTTCTCAATTTGACCGAGAAGAATGGACAAGTCTACTGCAAAGGGCTCTTTAAAGCCGTACAAAGGGCAGATGTGTCACTTGGAAGTCCGAGCTGGTGGTGGCGGCACTAGGGGCCGTCGAGTCCTTTCCAATACATAGCCACCCTGTGCCCAACAGAACCAACACCCAGCGGCCCGGCACTGCTCCTAGGCTCCAGCCCACTGGTACAGCCACCACGCCCACCCATCTCATGAAGGGCGGTCATCGTTTTCTCGGCCCGCCATTTTACCGAGCACGATGTCCTTTTCCAGGGACTGCTCTCCCGATAACACGTCCAAAGTGCACGAAAGAAAGTCTCGCTACCCTTGTCTCTGGCTTCTCCCAAGACAGATCTGCGTGTCCTTCAGTGTGGGAAACTGAGAACCTGGATGAAAGTGCAAGTGGCCTTGCCTCTGCACTCGTATGTAACCGCAGGACTTGGAGAATCGCCTCTAGTGAGAGAAGACTTCCACAGTTCCCAGACAGGACTGAAACCCAATGTGCATTCCCCAGAAAGAAAGTGCTCTCTGCACAGCTGCCCTCTTCACATGGAGACTGGTTATGGCGGTGGACAACATCTCCAAAAGGCTCCCCAAGAACAGTACAGGCCACCCTACAGTCAGTCATACAGCTCTGAAATTTCAGCTAGTCTAGGTAACAGCCTGCCAGCTCTACTCAGCAGAGGTGGTTTTAAAATAAAATGAAAAAAATAAAGTCCTGACAAAAGCAATGATAGACCTGGTACCCTGGTACCCTCTAAGGAGTGTTCTGGCAGTAGTTTTCCCAAGGCAGATCAGTTTGTCCTTTCAGCGTCTGTAGTGCTTTCAGTAGTGCTCTCCAGCACCAGCCGCAGTTCAAATGCATCGGTTCTCCTTCGGTCACCCTTATTCACTGTCCAACTGTCACATGCATGGGAGTGTTGAAAATACCGTGGCGCGGTCAGGCACACCTTAGTCTTCAAAGTAGCATCCTTGCTCTTCAATACTCTAAAGAGGTCTTGTGAGCAGATTTACTTAATGCAATGCCTCTTTTGATCTCGTAACAGCTGCTTGCTTCCATGAGCATTGATTACGGATCTAAGCAAACCCAAATGCTTGGCAACTTCAACCTTTTCTCCATTTATCATGATGTTACTTATTAGTCCAGTTGTGAGGCTTTGGGTGTCCGTACCTTGAGTTGTCATCTGTAATGAAGGTTGCGGTCCTTCAGCTCCATCAGCAAATGCTGAGCCCTTCTTACTTTGAGCAAGGGCAGTTGGGTCATCTCCATGTTGCAGGTTGTTAACGAGCCTTCCTCCAGTCCTGGAGCCACATCCAATTCTGCATATCATCCCGCTTCTCTGAGGATTCGCACAGGCTGCGACGGTGTGGCACTCTGACTGGCGAGTAGGGCGACTTGCCGAGCCATATGATGACTGCCACATCTACTAAAAGACTGCAGGTTGATGGGGAGAAGGACTTGAGGAGAACCTGGTACCAGGTCTACCCTTGCTGCTGTCAGGCAGAACCTGGCCTGATGGGGTAGCTACCAGAGACATGTCTGGGTTTCATTGCCTGCAATAGTTTTCAGCAGTGAAGATCATATATATCTATATCTATATCTATATCTATATATATGTGTATATATATATATATATATATATATATATATATCATCAATAATGTTGGGATTACTGGGAATTTTCAGGACAGTTAGTTGTACTGATGCAGAACCTGCCCACAGTTCTAGAGGCAAGATCTTCAGAGATGACAAGGGGATTCTGCGTGGCTCACAGTTGGGAAAGCCATGCGTCAGGGTTGCGTCCCTTTACATCTGTATCCTGAGCAGATAACCTGAGACGCCGAATTACATGATGACCAAGTGGACGTCAGGCTCATTAACCACCTGTGGTGTGCCCGTGATGCAGCCTGACGTGCTGAAAGTAAGGAAATCCCGAAAACATGTCACTATCACAGGCCAAATCCTTCTGTGTGGCTACTCTTCAAAGGAAACAAAAATCTCAACAGCTGGGCGGATGAACAGCGTCCTCGTAGATGGTGGCAGAATGAAAATCATCAGCCTTTCATTCTGTCTGAACCCACAAGCAGCGTCCATGGAAGCAGGGAGAGAGATCCACGAGTGGATTGCCCTGGCGCCGTCCACAGGTGCTCTTAGAAGTGTTAGGAAGAGGAGAGATGTCCCCGGATGACTAAGGTGTGCCTGCCCCACCTCATGGTCTTTTCAGTCACCTGCTACCCCTGCAACAGCTGGGCCACTGAGAAAGAAGGCCGAAGAATTCTCATGTTCGCGCTGTGGTGTTGGTGAGGGTATCGAGCATCCCAGGAACTGCCCTTGCATCGCAGAGCCGTCTTTTCATGCGAGATGATGGGACTCGGCCTCCTGCACCTTGGATACATCATCCAGAAAAGCCAGTTGCCAGAAAGGGACACTTTTTTTAAAGCTGAGGGTCAGCAAAAACCAGGGGGCCCCTCGCTGAGATGGGCGGAGCTGGTAGCTGCACTAATAGATTAGACATGGCAGTGATCATGGGGGCGGTGTGGGGGCTGGCGGTGTTTCACGCACGAGGCACCGTGCGTCAGCTCTGACCCAGGGACAGCTAGCCACAACAAGCCTTTCCAGTGCTCTGCCCTGTATTGACCGGAAAGCCAGAGGTCTGGGCTTCTCTCTGTCCCCTGAGGATGGGGCCATCTCGGCCCCTCCAGGATGGGCCCCTTGGCTCCTCTCGGCTGCACTGTCTGTCAGCACCGACTGCCACGGGCCCTTCTGGGCCTCCCTTGGTCTTCAGCATTAGCGCCCTCGGCCCAGTGACAGCGCACTCTGGGAGGTCCCTAGCCTGCTTTCTGTCCGCCAGCAACATCTTCCTGCTTCTGGCTGGCCTGCTGCTTTTTGTTTTTGAAACCTCCGTGGGGTCAGCTACCTGTAGACACAGTGTTTGTCCATTTCAGGCCATGGGCACTGTGGGCACACACTGACCAAGACCACAGACATTTCATCCCCATCGTAGGCTCTGTAGTCACTTCTTTTGCATAGCCTGTTAACCAGTCATGCAAGGGCATTGAGTAAACCAGGCACAGGGGTGACTGCAGCCTGGACCAAACCCCCTCAAATGAAAAGGAAAAGCTTGCCTTTTGGTTTCACAAAAACCACTAACCCTTTGGGGTCGAAGGTACAAAACTGGAGGAAAGGTAGCTCCTCCGGGATTAGGGGAGATCTCGCTGGCTCTTTTCCCAGAGACCCCAGGCCAGAGGCCCCACAGCACCTCACCCCTGTGAGGGCCCTGCAGAGAGGACTTTGGTTTGCTGTGTCCAGATGTGGCTGTAAGTGGCCCCAGGTGGTAAGTGGGACCGGGGCCCAGGCGTTGATTGGAACCCTCAGCAGGGAGGGAGCTGGCATGTGGAATCTCAGGGATTTCAAGTGGGCCTTTTTTATTGGGGTGTTGTGGGGTAGGTAGGTACCTATGGTGTGCTATGAATGCCTCATCATGTGACCGTTATGAATAAAGTATACAGATCATTAATAGCTTGGCTATCACTCCCTATCTTACGTGTAGGAGTCCTGGCGGTATTATGTGAGAAAGAAGCGGGGAAGGGCGGTGAGAGAAACTGCAGGTCAGGAGCACTGTGAGTCAGAAAGGACGGCAGGGCAGTGAGACTGTGTGCTTGTTGCTTTCAGACTGAAGATGGACAGGCCACAGAGTGTATTCTCCGGTGACGATGGTGGCACAGGTGCCGTGGTTCTAGAAACGTACGTGGTAGAATCCACAGAGTCCGCCTCGCATGTTCAGCTGGCCTGCCGAGAACCATACTGCGCCTTCCCACTGAACGGACATGAGCTTTGTGTCTGCAATGCCAGGAACCCTTCCGACCAGGTATTCTGTGTCCTCCTCCCTTCTGACCGTTAGTGCCATGTTGGCAACCTTGCCCCTTGAAGGGTTCAACCACCGACCACGGAGGAAAAGGTTCAAAAGCAAAGCATGACGCTATGTTTTCATATTTAGAAAATCAACCAGTGGAGGTACTGTTGTGAGCAGCTCTCCTTCAGTGAGAACAGGTGTTCGGTGCAAGACAGTTGGCTTCACTTGGTCGTGACTGTGCACCACAGAACCAACAAAGCCCGGCCTGCTCCTGACCCTCCTCACAGCTGCCATTATCATTGAGCCCAGGCTGCTGTCAGTCCATCTCGTGGAGGGTCTTTCTCTGTTTTGCTGCCCCTCTACTTTGCCCAGCACAGCATCCTTCTCCAGGGTCTAGTCTCCTGGTCACAGGCCCAAAGTGGGCGAGGTGCAGTCTCGCCGCCTTCACTGCCCAGGAACACCCTTCCTGTGGGGGTTGAGGTGGTAGTCAGCCTGGCTGGCCATGGTTCTTGGCTTGGCAGGGATGTATGTGATGGTGAACTCGGGCAGGTGTGTGTTTCACCGATACCTACTGAGCAAACAGGAGACTGCAGGAGGGCACCATTTTACCCGTACGTTATGTGTCATTCCGAGATCACTGGAATGATGAGCATGAGTCATACTTCAACCTGGGCCTTTAACGCCTGAGACCCAGAGTGGAACTGTGAAGTGAGCACACTTGAAGGCTCGGCCCATCTCATCTCTTAGGCGTCAGCTGTGTGTTAGGCTCTTACCTATAGCACCTACCTGTAGAGCTGGTGGCTCAGAGGCACTGACGTTTGTCACGTTCACTTTTCAGCCTCTGACCCTAAGAGGACACCGTCAGTCCGTAACTGCTGTGGCGTTTGGGCACAAAGCGAGCCCGCTTCTCCTCTGCTCTGCATCACAGGACCGCGTGCTCGTGTGGGACCTGGACCTCTGCAGGGCGGACGCACTCCAGGGTAGATGGAAAGTTAAAACTTAGATCGAAAACGGAGTAGAAGAATATGTTTTGGAACACTAGGTGACTTGCGGTTATTTTTGACTCCTTTAAACGTGAATTAAGATGTCCAAGGAGCCAGCTTTGTATAACCCAAACCAAAACCCACAGCCTCTGAGTGGATGCTGACTCAGAGCGACCCTATAGGATAGGGTACAACTGCCTGTGAGTTTCGAGACTAACTCTTTATGGGAGTAGCTGTACAGCCTCATCTTTCTCCCAGGAGAGGCTAGTGGATTCGAACTGCTGACCTTGCTGTTAGTGGTCCAATGTGTAGCCACCAAGCCACCAGGGCACCAGGGCTCTTCCTACTTGATAGAGAAAGCTAATTTTCCTGGCTGATGAGTTTTGCGGTGGGTGACACTGATTCGGTGTAATGATTACACAGTGGACAGATAGCCTCAAGGTCAGTGGTTGGAAAGAAACCAGCCGCTGAACAAGAGAAAGAGCAAGCTGTCTATGCCCATGAGGAGTCAATTTTAGAAATCCACAGGCAGCATTTTGACTCTATCCTCCAGGCTCGCTAAGTCAGCATCGACTCAATGACAGGGAATCAGTAGTTTCATTTAATTGTATGCTTTTTCTTACGAATTTAAAACATCATTCAGAGCTGTATCCTTTCACCATACCTGTTCCATCTCTATGCTGACAGGATCTCATAAGGAAGCAGTGTCAATGGCTGGAGACTCATTGGTAAATCATCTGCAGGCTAGAAGGTCAAAAATTACCCGACAAAAATTCTGGCACCTTCCACCTCAGTGAAGTTTCTAGGGGTCCAGTAGTGTGGGGCACATGTAGATATATGTACTAACATGAAAGATGGTTAATGCATCTGCCCCTCCCACAGCTGAAAGGGAGATACAACGCCTGGTGGCTTCTCTGGGTTTGGGAGGTGGCATGGCCCTCACTGGGGTGCGCCCCTCTGGCCTATTGACCAAGTGACTCGAGAGGCCACTGGCTCTGAGTGGGGCCCGGGGCAAGGGAAGGGTCTTCCACAGGCTCAGGCTGTCGTCTGTGCCAGCTGCTCTGCCCCTGGGTCCATGTGACCCTGCTGACCAGGTGGTGGTGCTGTGGTGTCCGTGGCAGGAGGAGGTGCCCTGTGGAGGCTCTGACAGGCCCCTTTGGTGGATCACAGTGCAGCCCCTGAGAACTTTGGCAGCAAAGCCCTGCCGTCCTCTGGAGACAACTGCTCTCCTTTTGACAAACAGCTGTTGGCCTGTTACTGGGCCTTAGTGGAGACTGGACGCCTCACCATGGGCCACCAAGTCACCATGCGCCTGAGCTGCCCGTCATGGTCACAGAGTTGGGCGTGCCCAGCAGCACTCCATCGTTCAATGGAAGTGGTCCAGACGAGATCAGCCTACAGCGGGACCTGAAGGGACAAGCACGCTGCATGGAGAATTGGCCCCAGTGCCCAGTCTCCACTCCTGTCACTGTACCTGCCTTCTCCCCGTCTGCACCCATGGCCTCTGGGGAGTTCCTTATGACCAGGTGACTGAGGAAGAGAAAACTTGTGCCTGGTTTCCTGGTGGCTCTGCACGATGTGTGGGTGCCACTGGTAAGTGGACAGCAGCAGCACTACAGCCCTTTCTGGGACCTCCCCAAAGGACAGTGCTGAAGGGGAATGGTCCTCACAGGCAGGACCTGGAGCAGTGCACCTGGACGCCGTTTGCTTCAGAGGAGAAGTGACCAACTGTGTGATTGTGTACTGATTCATGGGCTGCCAACCGTGTGACTGTGTCCTGATTCACGGGCTGTCAGTGGTGTGATTGTGTCCTGATTCATGGGCTGTGGTCAATCATTGGTCTGGCTGGTCAGGGAGTTGGAAGGAACATGATTGGAAAATCGGTGACAAGGAGTCGTAGGGAAAAGATAGTGACTAGACATTGCTGAGTGGGTCAAAAGAGTGAGAATATTTGTGTCTCATGTGAATGCTCACCAAAGTGTTACCTCTGAAGAGGAGGGTTTTAGCACTCAGGTGGATAAGATGACACGCCCTGTGGAGAGAATTCCTCTTTTCCGAGCCACCCCTGTCCTTGTCTAATGGGCATATGAACAGAGTGACCACGGTGGCAGGGGTGGGGGTTATGCATGGGATCAGCAACATGGACTTCCACTCACCAAGGCTGACTTGGCCACTGCCACTGCTGAGTGCCCCATTTGCCAGCAGCAGAGACCAACACGGAGTCCAAGACAGGAGACCATTCGCTGTGGGGTCAGCACGCAGCCTGGTGGCAGGTGGATTACATAGGACCACTTCCTTCGTGGGAGAGGCAGTGTTTTGTTCTTACTGGAATAGACACGCTGGATACACATTTGGCTTCCTTACTCTGCTTCTACCATCCGTGGTCTTACAGAATGTCTCATCCACTGACATAGAATCCTGCACAGCATTGCTTCCTATCAAGGCACCCCCTTCATAGCAAACAGAGTGTGGCAGTGGGCCCACGCGCGTGGGATCCACTGGTTGTACCGTGTTCTTCATCATCCTGAAGCACCTGGCTGGATGGAATGATGGCATGGCCTCCTAAAAGTACCAGTTTCAACTAGGTGACAACACCTTACAGGGTTGGGGCCGTGTTCTCTAGGGACTGCCATCCGAGATCTGGTGCAGTTTCTCCAGTAGCCAGGACTCATGGGTTCAGAAACCCAGGGATGGAAATGGGGGGGGGGCACCTCTCACCGTTGTTCCTACTGGCCCTCCGGGCAGTTTGGGCCTCCCGATGCCTGTGGGTCAATAGGCAAAAAAGGGTGTAATTGATCCCAATTACCAAGGGGAGATTGCATCAGATGACATAATCGAGGTAAAGAAAGGGCTGTCTGGACTCCAAACGATCCTTCAGGCTGCCCCTTAGCACTGTGATGTGCGGTGATGAAAGTAATTCTGACTTGACGACTAAGAACACAGACTCTTCAGGAAGAAAGGGTTGTCACCGCACCAGACCAGGACCACGACCGCCGAGGTGCTTGCTGAGGGCACGGGACGCCTGCAGTGGGCAGTGGAAGAAGACAGTTCTTGATGGCAGCCACGGCCATGTGACCAGCTGCAGAAACAAGGACAGTGCCTGTGACGGTAACTCCCATGTGCATGTATGCATGTTTGTTTAGTTCACTTGTGAGATGTAAGATGGAAATGGAGTTAGTGTGTGGTTGTTGCACGTGTGTTAGTTGTATCATGTCAGGCGCAGGTGTGATTTTGTTACTGTCTTTGGGGGGTATGTCTGGTTGAAGAGTTGTGTACAGGTGTCAAGTTGACAAGAGGTGGTCTGTGATGGTTAGATGTTATGCCCACTGGATATATCTGGGTGAAAGTAGGGGTGGAGTCCAACTTTTCAGTCCAGGCGAAGACTGGTGCATCTCCTTGGTGGGGTGTGGACTTTTGTATGAGAGAAACCCTGAGCAGAGCCGGGCTCCCTTAAGCCCCTTCACCTTCTGTTGCGTCTGGATCCTGCATGTGGTTTGTCAACCTCCTGCCATGCCTGCTGCTGGTTCTAGGAGCCATCAGGGGACCACGGGCCTTGGATTCACTTGGACAACCTCTGCCTTCACCAGCTTGTGCCCTCCTGCTTCATATTCCTGCTTCCTGCTCATCTGAACTTGAACCAGATTGGGCTTACCTGCTTCCACACCTGTGCGAGAAACCATTTCTCAATATCAGTCTCTCTCGATACATCAGCACCATGACTTACTGATTTGCTTCTCTCGAGTACCAAGCCGAACACACAGGGCTGGCAAAGCTGTGGCAGACCCTCCACAAATGGATGGGCACTGGTTGCAGCCCTGGGCAGGAGTACAGTAATGCTCGTGAGCAGGTGCGTCCAACCCCCTTGTCCGCAGGGTCCCCCTGATTGGAACCAGCTCAGCGACCCCTACCAGCAACAGCAGTAACAACAGCTTAGGATTCAGAAAAACCTGGTTTTTGTGAGAATGAAAGAGATGCTTTCGGTTTGCATGGTGTTTTACTTGAATAGCAGGCATGTCTCGAGCTGAGGACTTTCGACGGAGAGGGGCTTGGTCCCAATGGACGTGGGATGGATAGGTAGAGCCCACAGTCAGCGAGGCCGGTGACTGATGAGGCCCAGGGGATGGAGGGCTCGCAGGCACGGCTGACCCAGCTTGTTCTGAGGAGGGCGTGTCCTTGTGGGGAACAAAGAGGGCTCAGTGCTGAGAGAGGGTCGATTTCCCGACCCCCGAAGTAAAGGCCACCTTGCCTGGAGACGAGGGCGAGTGTGCCCATGTGGCTTGCCTGGCAGTGGGAGGAGAGGCCCACTAGGCACCTCCTGCTGGCAGTTGGGAGACTGGTCCTCATGGAGCCACAGGAAGGAGTTGGCGCTCACTCAGTGACTTGGAGAATTTGCAGGATCACTCTAGGAAACCAGTGCCACCTTATTTCAGACCACAGCATCCATCCCAGGTCATGTCCCACCTTTAGCCAGTCTGTAGCATCGCGAATCTGCTAGCAGAGCATCACCCCTGATCTACTGATGTGAACATGCACACACACGCACCTGCATGCACACGAACACAGAGGTGCATAATGCCGTACACAGCGCACACGTACCCAGAAGTGTACAGCCATATGTATACACACAGATGCACACACACGCACAGAGCATATGTGCACACCAATGCAGTACATATGCACATACATGTGTGTGTCGCTTGCTTCCATAGTGGTGTCTGTAGACAGTTGTTCCCAGTTTAAGAGGTGCTGTGCTCCCACCATGGGCTGTTCGTTTACCCTGGGAGCTCTGACAAGTCTCTGGCCTGAGGTGGGCAGCCTGGGCAGCACACCAAGCCCACTGTGACCCAAAGTATGGAGGTCACACAGAACCAATAGTCTCTGAGGTAAAGCCATCCAGAATCGGGTCCCTCCTGGCTGTTCACTGGGAAGAGCAGTGCCTTCACCACAGCAGGTGCCCTGTGGGTTGTGGGCACAGAGGCCCTCTAGTGGTGAGTCCAGTAGCTGCAGCGGTGCCTTCACTTCCCTGCTGGGTCCTGGCTGGCTGCTCCTGGGGTACAGCCACTCAGTCGCCCCATGCCATTCTCAGAAGGGTGACCCAAGTGTCTTCACTGTGTGGATGCCCCTCGTGTGCCACACGCACCCCCACACAGTTCTGCTCTCTCACACTGTCCAGAGACTGAATGGCCGCTGTTCTGAATGCTTCTGAGTAGGGTCTTATCAGTGCCCCCCATGACTTCAGGAGAAAGATCGCCCCCATATCTCATCATGCTGCTGATTGTGGGAGACATGGGGGCATTTGTGGGCTGACACTGACGGCTGACACCCACAGGAATGGCTCCTCGTGGAACGGTCCTGGGCTCGCTCCTGGGGAAGGTGATCTGCCTGGGGTTCAGTCTGCACGACCATACTGTCGCCGTGTGCGTGGGGACTAGGATACTCATGATGGACACCAAGGTAGGTGTGCATGTCTTCCCCCCAGAGCGACTGTAACCGGGCGGCTCTCTCAAGGGGGAGGGGAGGGGCATGGAAGCAAACGGAGCTGTACTGCGCCTGCTGTTTCTGACCAGCTCAGGCCTGTTCAGGACTACTGCACACCAGGGCTGACCTGAGCCCAAAGTGTCTTCAAGCATTCCCCCTCCTTTCACAGTCTTCTCTCCAAGCCCTCCTGCGCCTGTGCTTCGTGTCCCGCTTCTAATTCCTCATCCCACAGGGCTTCCACACGTCTCCTCAAATCTTCATGGCCCTCCCGCAGCCAGGCTCAGCGGCCTCATCCCGCAGGGCTTCCACACGTCTCCTCAAACCTTCATGGCCCTCCCGCAGCCAGGCTCAGCGACCTCATCCCGCAGGGCTTCCACACATCTCCTCAAATCTTCATGGCCCTCCTGCAGCCAGGCTCAGCAGCCTCATCCTGCAGGGCTTCTGTTGACCTCTTCCGTCAGCCTCATTTTCATGGGAACAAGCCTTTCTTGCTTTCCTAGGAAGGTTGTTGATTTTGCGTCGGATGGTGAGATGGTAAGGCCGAGTCATTAGAGCAGTGTGAAGTGTGGAAACAATTAGAAAGTGCCAGGAGCATTTTAAGGGACACTGCTGCTTCTATATTCGTGAGTGAGGTGAGATGTGTTGTGGGGATTTCCCAAATCCTTCTGCTTATCACAGTCGGTCTTTTATTTTCCCAGATGAAGCTGGCTAACAGAGTTATTTGTCTGCAAAGGATGTCCTTGCTGAAAACATTTCAGGATAGGAATATGCTAGGCATAAAGTCTCAGTAGAGCACCCTAAGCAAAGAGGGGTCTTTGGGGACCCAGAGAGCACAGTCCCTGCCTTCAGTTCAGCTTGGGCCCAGCTGTGAAACGGAGGGTCATACCTGAAAGAAGATGTAATAATGCACTGGACACCCCAGGCAAATGATAGGAAGTGTCCCAGGAGAAAGGTAGATGGCGTCTGCTTGCTCTTGGTCCAGTCTGGTCCTCTGGGGAAGTCCGTGGAGAAGCCGGAATGCATGAAACGCTGCATGTGTGGACATCTCACGGTGCTTCCCTGTATCAGCGCCAGGCTATTAGTACAACTCCTTGTTGAAACAGAGCATCGTGCATGTGGGAATGGAATCCCCAGTGAGTCTGGCGAAGGGTCCCGGGAAGAGGAAGCCACAGCAGGGCAGGGTCTCAGCCACACACTGGTGAAACCAAGCAGCAGGTGCAAAGCTCTGCCCAGACAGGGCTCCAGCCTTCCCAGGGAGCCTTCCCTGCATGCCCCCCTTGGGACGCTCCTCCTCGGGACAGAAGCCTGGCAGACAGATGTGGTGTGGGAGGGGAGGGTGGCAGAGGTGAGAGGGCCCGAGGAGGACATGTGCACCCCACTTCTGCTCAGGGACAGTCTGAGTTGGCTGGTACTGTCCAAACTGTGGGTCCTGTGGTGTGTGGCCGTGTCCGCTTGGCTCAGCTGCCTGATTTCTGACTTCTTGGTTTATACACAGTTGTCTCTCGTTTAGAAGAGGGTTATGTGATAATGTCACTGACCCCTCATCCACCCTCCAGAGCCCATCTGTCCTGGCCGAGCTGCAGGGCCATCTGGCTCCAGTGACCGCACTGGCTTTCAGTACTTGGCAAGCAGACACCCTCATTTCCGTGTCTGAGGACAGAAGCTTCAAGGTACGTGGCTGGCTGGGGTGACGCCAACTTTGCCTGGGAGAGCTCTGGTGCCACCCAGGTGGTGTGCGCCCACCACTGCACCGTGGGAGGGTGGGGGGGGGGCACCCTCACGTTCCCAGGCTGGCCTGGGGCCACTCTCCTCAGAACCACGGCCCCTGAGCCGGACACGCAGGTGTGCCTGCAGCATCTCCTGGGGTGAGGCAAAGCAGGAGAACCATCACCGGAGACCAGGGAGTCCCGCCCTGCAAACCGGGCTCAGGAAGATGGGGCGGGATTGCCAGTCAGTTCCCGTGTCCCCCATGTGTGCCAGACAGTCAGCGGTGTGACCTTGGGCATGCAGTGTGATTGCATGGTTAAGCCCCCGTGGGGTCGCAGAACCAGAACCCTGGCCTCAGTCTCCCTTCCCCACTTTCCAGCTGTTTGCTCTCTGGTTCTGCCAAGTCCACGGGCTGCCACTTCTGGGGACGTCAACTTTACACAGAAGCTTCTGCCATCTTGCACTGCTTTCCACAGCTTTAGTTCTTTCATACTTGTAATATTCTGTTGTAGAAACTGATCCTAGACACGGACATAACTGGGGAACGGATCGCTGTGTAGTAGAGACTGATCCTATACACTGACATAACTGGGGAACAGATCCCTGTGTAGTAGAGACTGATCCTATACACTGACATAACTGGGGAACAGATCCCTGTGTAGTAGAGACTGATCCTATACACTGACATAACTGGGGAACGGATCCCTGTGTTGTAGAGACTGATCCTATACACTGACATAACTGGGGAAACGGATCGCTGTGTAGTAGAGACTGATCCTTTACACTAACGTAACTGGGGAAGCGGATCCCTGTGTTGTAGAGAACTGATCCTATACACTAACATAACTGGGGGCGGATCCCTGGTGGCGCAGTGGGTTAAGCAGTGAGCTGCTCGCTGTGAGGTCAGCGGTTTGAAGCCCCAACTGCTGAGAGGGAGAAAGATGAGGTTTTCTACTCCTGTAAAAGCTCTCAGGGGTCAGTCTACCCTGTCCTGCAGGGACAGATTCGATGGCAGTGGGCTTGCAGGTGTTCGCATTGGGGGTACCTTTAGCTCACAGCTCTGTCCTCTCCTGAAGGGCCGTGTGCTTGTTGCAGGTGTGGGACTGCCGTGTGGGGACCTCAGTATATACCTCACCCGTGCTCTCAGGTAAGACTGGGTGCCGTTCACACAGCGTGGGGACCTCCAAGCATGTCATTCACACCCATCGCACAGCGTCCCATGAGCCAGGGCGGGGACATCCTAACGGAGCAGGCCCATCTCTTCCATGGACAGTGACCTCACTGGCTGCTGCACATTGGCAGGCTCTCCGGGGGACTGTGGGGCAGGAGGCCCTGGCTGCTCCCATGTAGCCTGTGCAGGCAAGGGCCCTGTTCAGATGGCTGGCACCCTGAGTGCCATGCATCTGGGCTCATCGTCCCTACCCGCTTGCTCCCAGGTGGAAATGAAGGCTGGGCTTGGTTGTGGCGCAGCGGTGACAGGCTTTCCAGCCTTGGACATGTGGGACACTTCTCCTCTGGGATGAATGCCCACATTTCCAGGTCTGGCCTGGGCCCTGTATTAGGACACCCCCACCCCACCCCACCCCCCGCCTCCATCACACACTCAGGGCCTCCCAGGCTTTGCTTTCATGCCTTGGTTCCCTGCTTCTCTGCATCTGAGGAGGACTGTTTGCATGCGGCCCTGTGCCTGCCTGCCTCACGGAGGTGCGCTGGTGACACTCCCCGCTGCGTGGCTGCCCCTGAGTGACGCTTGGCCTCCTGTGCTCCTTCCACAGCCTACCCTCTCCTCAGCATTCTCCTCCACAGAGACTCCGAGCAGCTGGTGACCGGCTGTGCCAACGGTCAGGTGAGGCCCTGTGCCGATCTGCTTCCTGTGTGGCCACCATGAAGGACAGGGCCTCAGCGCCACTGCCTGAGCCAAGCACCTCTGGGCCAGGCTGGTGTCCGCAGAAGGTTCCCACGTGGTTTGGACAGGAGGGTGACACTCGTACTTCATCGACGTCAAACTCAGTTCCACAAAGCTGGGCGGCATGATTTGGGGGGCACGGTGCCTCCTGGGAAACCGAGTTGGCTCCCACCCCTTCCTGATAGTTTCTGGCGCCCCGCTATGTGTGGCCACAAGCATCTCCTGGTGTTGCTGATGACGTATGATGTGTGCGCAGGGTGATTTGTGACATGTGAACACTGTGCTTTGCGATGTGCTCTGTGTGACGTGTGTGTAGACCATGCTGGGTGATGTGTGTGCAAACCCTGGTGTACAATGGACGTGTGTGCAGACGGTGGTGTGTGATGTGTGTGCAAATCCTGCTGTGTGATGTGTGTACAGATGGTGGTGTGTGATGTGTGTGCAGATGTGTGCACAGATGTGTGCACAGACGGTGATGGGGGACGTGTGAGCAGAGGGTGCGGGTGACGGGTGAATCTCAGTGGGAGTTGATGACTGGCGTGAGTATATGCGACCCCCTCACCAATGCTTTCTAGCAGACACCTGAACCACACATGGGGTCTCTCAGGAGGCTCTGCCACACGTCCACTCCCTCCTCCTGCTGGACTTTGCTGCCATTCGTGGGCGCAGCTTCTGCAGACCCAGCATCTTTGTGTGGGTTTGCAGCTCTGGGTCTTCAGCCTGGCTGAAAGGCACCCCTATCGCTGTGTGACGCGTGTGGACCTCAGGAGAAAGGCAGCGAGCTTCTTCGCCAGGAAGGAGCAGCTTGGGCTCTGCAGCATCTTAGGTAACTTGGCTCAGCCTCCCTTACCCAGCAGGGCACCACTGTCCCCAGCAGCACCCACTGATCGGCGTATGGGTGCGGTGTGCTGTGGGAGGGAGAGCTGCCCTACAGCCCAGGTGGTGACACAGGTGAGGGTGACGGGGAACAGTGCTGCTGTTGCCCATTTGTCATGGGAAGGGGTCCCTGCTAATGGCTAACTGCCTGCCTGCTTCCTGAGCGCTTGGCCATTGACCCCGTCCAACAGTGTCCTGGAAGACAGGCCCCAGAGATGGGCTTCTGAAATGAGAGCCCTGTAGGTGCCACTGTTGAAGGCAGTGCACCGTCTGCCAACAAACAGCGCAGCCCAGCCCTGGGCCTCCCCCCTGGCTTTAGGTCCTGGACCTCATGGCTGCCCCCCTGCTTTAGGCCCTGGACCTCCCCTCCTGGATTTAGGCCCTGAACCTCCCCCTGCTTTAGTTCCTGGACCTCCCTGTGGCTTTAGGCCCTGCAAGCTTCCATCTCCCCAGTGCTTGGCCATCTGCACTGTGATATCCTCACAACCCCAGCGAGCAGAGCTGCTCTGTCCTGCAGGGTCCCCACAGGCCAGAACCCACTGGACTAGAGTGGGCCTGGGCTTAAGCTAGACACTTCATGGTTATTCCTGGTGGCCTCTGAGCGCAAGTCTAATTTTGTTTTCAACCTTCTTCTGGAACATTTAAGCCCAGAGACACATCTAGCATACAGATCACCCATGCTTCACCACAGCCTCCCGCGGGTCAGTTTCTGCCTTTGCTTTTTAAAAAGAGAAGCCAAGCCAGCTCATTTTGGAAGAGGACAGGTCTCCCACTGTTTTAAACACGTGTGTCAGGAGTGCTAGGGTTGTAAAGCACGCTGTACTTCTGTCACTGTAGCCCACAATGAAAAGCCGAGTGGAGCTCCTTGGGGCTGAGGCCGGCGTGACCCCATCCATGGCAGATCCCGTCCTGTCTGCCCTTGGTGACAGCCTGCAGGCGGGCACGTGTCCAGGGCCGCCTCTTTCGGGATCTCCTTTCCAGGTCCACGGCCTGCCTCCTCGCAAGCCGCTCGCTTCTTAGCCTTGAGCTTTGCTCCGCTCCGAGCTTTCCACGGCTTCCTTCCTCCCCAGGTGAGAAGAAGAAAGGAGCAAGGGCCGAGGCGGCCCTTCCTGCCCTGCACCTGGAGCGCTGCGACCTGCCCCTCAGTCGGAGGCCAGGGAGGGAGAGGTACATAACTAGGGCCTTCCGCTTCTTAGGTTCTAGGTGCCTGGGGTTCTAGTGGGCAAGGGGGCCCTTGCTGGTCAGGGGGCGGTGCCTGTCAGGAGACGGTGCCTGTCAGGGGGGTGA